GAGGTCAATCTACTTCTAGAAATCGAAAGGAGACTGCGACCATACCAGAGGTCACGCAATCTTGGTCTTCATATCAGTCCTTAAATCACCTTAAGCAACCTAGGGTGCTTACTCAAGAATTACGGCATTTATCGTAACCTACTTATATCGAAAATAAGTAACGTCGTGAATTGTGATGGCAAAAGCACCATTACTTAATCGATAGCCCCATTATAAATTATGAATTTTGAGAGTCCTCGCTCGCATTGAACGGCGCATCTGTCCTGTTACCCATTGACACCCGTTTCCGCGGAGTGGAGTAGACTGGTAGCATCGTCAAGGTACCCACGATCGGGTATCAAATCCTGCTGGAGGTGCGGAGGAGACTATTTTAGTCAATATGGAACCCGCAGTCCTCCGTGGATGAGATAAGCTTTTGGCAGGCAAAGCTAAGTTCAGTTCCGTGGAATAGTAAGGCCCACTTATACTATTGTGGGAAAAACTCAGCTATCAGTCCTTGAATCGCCATATTAAGAACACAAAGGCTTTCAGGCTACCAAGAGCCCTATTTCGGAATATCGCCTATTCTCCAGTGGTTTGAAGGCATTTTTTGTCTATTCAAAAAAATTAAGGATAGCCCGAATTTGTGATTGACCACCAGCAGATAAGTCCATCCGCTTTATTTTTTCAGTAAACTAAGCATTTGGCTTCGCAGCTCAGAAAAGCCTGGAAATAATAAGTTAATGTTGCAAACATGATTGATATATTTATCTTAAAAAGAAAATATAACACAAATGAAAAATAAATGATAAGTTGGTCAAGTGAAGAAACAAAGGCAAATATACTGTGGCCTAAGAATAAACCTAGGGAGAGAGAAAGAGAAAAAGGCAGTAAAAAGGTAGTAAAAAGGTAATGCAAATTATGGAAAAGTATAACTTAATATTAAGTAATACCTTGATTTATATAAGAAAAAATACAATGAAGCATCAATCGAGGAAATCAATAACGCCTGAGATTATCGAGAGCAAATTGGTGAAAGTTAATAAGAGAAGAGAAGAGAAGGCAAAATAGAAATTAAAGAAGATATAACAGCGTATAACGGAAGAGGGAGGCGTAGAAGAGAGTAGAGAGAACAGGGTCAAATAGAAGTTAAAGGAGGAACATAAATGAAAATAAAGAGGG